GTACTTCAAAGATCACTTCCCCTTGATCATTTGTTGGATTATCTACAGTGATTACCTCATAGTTAATACTGTTTTTGATATAAATTGCTAATCCCCCTGCTATATTATTTTTTGGTGTGTTAGGACCTGAAAAAAATTTAAATTCTGACCTAAATCCAGGGATGGTCCTAACATAATTTTCTATAAATTTTGTTTCTTGTAAGCACAGGATATCAATTTGGGGGTTATTGTCTAATAAATGTTTGATTTCTACATGTTTATGACTACTAAATCCTTGAATGTTAAATGATATGATATTGAATTGTCTAGACATGGTTGAGCTGTTTTGATTTTGCTAAATTTAATTTGTTCCTAACAAAAGGGGATACACACATTTGGTTGATGGATTTACGGCTTGATTTCAGTTTGTGTGGGGTGCCGGGGTTTCTATAGCCCCCACCTATCATGGCGGCGCCACTGGAGGTCAGCTTTCTGTGTACCTTCTTTTTTACTACGGAATTCTTTCATCCGGGGTTTTTCTAGTACCACGTATTTTTACAGGACAATATTGCGGCCTGTGGTCCGGAACGCGTGTATCCGGAATAGTATCAAACTTAGAGGGATACGAATTACTGCCATTGTTTGGATATTTGTGGTATTTTGTGGCACTAAATATCACAATTGATTAATTATATCATATATTTGATGAACAACTTATCGATTTAAACTTTACCTTGAAATATGATAGGGCCTACTCTATGACAAAGAGTAATATACGATGCCGGGCATACCGGATACAAGGACTTTTCCGGATCACTTTTGTGACACGTGACCATGTTACATGAATTATCTTCTCTTATTTATACTGAACGTATTATAACGGATTATGCAAAGGAAAAAACACGATATATTGACGTTTTGGCAACATTCTGTCATGAATTAAGATGTAAATAATAATGGATTTACACATTGAACCTAACTTGATCAGCATTTACCGTTTACTTGAAATTGTATTTGTTTTTTTTTACCATCTGGATTTCAGGGGCTTTAAGCTGTTCAAAAGAAAACATGTCAATTTCCTGCCATGTAACCTTTTTAATGACCCATTGTATAAGAACCGTATAATACAAACAATTCCTAAACATGAAGCACGAAACATTTTATTATTTTAAACAATTACATGTATTACATTAATTGCCATATCTACACATACGCCCAGCCGAAAATATATGATTGTTTATTATCTATTAGTGTGAAACGGAATAACATTGGTGACGTATTTGTAATTTGTTTTCAAGTCTGATTATATTAATTAACTCTCAATACAAGCAAGTATATAAAATGTGAATTCTGGTCATCGTTCAAGGAACAAAAACATTTTAGTATATATGTTGTATTTGACTCTCAAGAAAATTTCGTGAAAAGTATGTCGTGCTTAAAGTGATTTGAGAGATCCTGGCTTATTAAATCCACACGAGCCATTACAACGTATTCTTTAAATAACCATATTATTAATGTGTCAGATAAAATGCTTTGATAGGGTGCCTGGAGCAATCCTTACTGTAAGTTATCAAGCAATGCATTATTGATTTATCTTGTAAATGGACAGTTAATCAGTCGATGGAATATAGGAAGGTGGAATGGCATTCTGATAATTTTGTTCAATTATAATTCAAATATAACATAACTTACTCCAAATTGTACACTTCCAAAAATACGCTTCACCTATGAATTCTGAACCCTCATATGTTTTGCTGAAATCCAAATATTAACGCAACAAAAACAAATCACATGTCGTTTACTTATACAAGATTACTGTCCTGAATAATTGCCGATATAATAAATTACAAGATGGAAAAGAAATACTTGTATCTTATATTCTTTGAAATCATGATAAAACACTTTGACTATACAGAATTTTTATTTCATTTTCGAAAACAAATCGTCTACATTTTTAAAAGTAAACTTGTTTGTAGGAAAACGTTAGTATTTGAAGCTAAAAAGAACACAATAAATGGCCCACCGTGGTAGTTGTTCGATGTATCATTTGATTTAAAAATATGTCACAATTTAATTTGACCACGACTAAAAAATCCAAATCAGTTCGCCAACGAAAATTTATCAGCCCAGAATGATTAGTAACCGTGAACCTTACGTTTCTTTATCAGAAATTTTGTTTCTGCTAGACTAAGTGTGAAAAATATTAAAATTGAGTTACACCAGAAATAAAATTTATAAAATATTAACGAATCGATTTGCTTATTACACATACATTATCATTATTTTATCCGACGAAAAAGAATTTGTTCTAAGGAATTGTTCAAACAATTACACTATAATCATCTTAATAATATGAGTTAAACATAAAAATTGTGCAAATTAGGGCAGGTAGATTGTAATACAATAGATACACGTGTCGATAATTCTTCTATTTGCCGAAATCTTTAAAGAATAATAAACTTTAGACGTTCACATGAAGTTTTTGCGTACTTTTTGTATATATTTTATTATAAAATAATACACTTTGATAAGAAATCAAACAACACGATGAATTAGTAGTTGGCCGACAAATTTTCGGAAACAATTTCAACAATAACAAAAAAAAAAAAAAAACACACACACAAAAAAAAAAAAAAAAACGGTTTTTCACTAAAGAGAACCCTTAGCAAGTGTCGACCGATTTATTTCATACGCATATCGTGATGGAACTATAAACATATTTGTACTTTAATGCTCTATTCAAGTAACGAAAATGCGTAATTTATACTCAGAGAAGGCAATAAGAACGGAGAGTCTCAAATGGGGCCCTTATTTAATGCGAATGAGCATTAGATCTGGAATGTTTCTGCTGTAGCGTTTTTGATGTAGCATTTTTCCTAAATTAACTTTAAGTAAGTAGTTAAAGTTAAATATATACTATTGGATTTGGCAAATATTTGCCAAAAACATGATATGTGTTTTAGTCAAATATTCCAAATCATAATAAAAAGTAACAGGCATTTTTTCAGTAATGGGCGTGACACAATGTTGTCGTAAACAAATGCCACATAATCATTTAACCTGTATTTAATCACCAGAATTTTACAAATCAATATACATTATCAATTAACCCATGGCTTAACTTCAGCTAATTATCGAATTTGTACCTTTTTTCCAATAGAAGGAAAACAGATATTTAAATAGCAATAGCCTCCATGAAAATTATCAGAAAATATGTACATTGTATTTAAAAACTGAAGGATTCAAAAGTTTACCCCTAAAAGTTTTAGAGTTTCGCATAATACACAAATTAACAGGATAAAAGTGCCAAAACTGTATTGAACTGGTATTTCTTGAAGCATTTATGAATCACCTTGTTGTAATTAATTCATGAATCAACATTGTTTCTATATATATGTTATTTTTCCATCCTGTGCCGGAGGATAGATCTTAATTAGGATAATAATTATAAACACATACATATAATTATATGTTATATTTATACGTATATATAAAACCATAAAAAACATATGATCATTCTGAACAGAACTAATATATATATATAAAACTGTACACAGTTTATGAAATCTAAACACACAATCATTATAATACCTTGTAAAAGAATATAAACTATTGTGTAAAAACATTCTTATGGTCGGAAAGAAAGTTAGTTTTGATGGACAAATTGACTATAATCACCACTGACCATGTAAGAAGGCTTGATCCGTCTGTGTAAGTTGTCATAAAGATCTTTTAGAAACCACTCTTGAATTAATTGATGAGCAGCTGATAATTTGTGAAATATATGGTTTTATTGACTTTGACCAAAAGATATTCATATGAATAACAAAACTGTTTAAACACGAATCTGATAACCGTCTGAATCATAAATTTTGTTTTAAACCGTTTTCAAACAAGACAATTTTCATTGACCTTCCAGTTTCAGGTACTGAATTGAGAATAAATAATGAAATGGTATTGATGTGGATTTTGAATTAAACCAAGCAAATGTATGACTGAGAGAGATGTGCCACTCGTGTTCTTGGAAATGAACAAGGGCCGGGAAAGATTTAATCAGGTTCTGACCCAAAATTGTATGTTCACGCACCAATCTATCGGAAATCATTATATACAACTTTGTAAACTATTACCTGTTCAACAGGCATGTTTATATTGCCTATTTTGGCGAGGTTTAATTATTTTTAGTCTTTTAGAAACCGGACTCGGTTCTTTTTAATCAATTTATCACGCCTGTGGGATTTTCTTATTCTTCATTTTTTTCTCTGAACTATACACAGACGATAGCTAACGGTAAACTTGAAATTTACAATCTGTTAAGAAAAGGTAAAAAAAACGCGCTTGTTTGATGTGGTAAGATAGATTTCAACGATTTTTCGATTAAAATTTAATATCTAAACGTTAAAAAATGACACAAAAGCTAGTTTTAAATGTCTTAATTTAAAAACTTTAAGGTACGTTTTATATGGGGTCCCTCGATAGTTCTGCAAAACATTGTTTTTATACTTGTGTCAATATATTCGAATCATATTTTGCCATCTGTGATAAAACAGTCAGGTTGAGAAATTCAAGTAGGGGTTGTGACCTTCAAATGACATTGAACTCTCAATACAAAAATTATTTAATGTTCTTTTTTCTGGCATTATCTTTGTAATCAATTTGACAAAACACAAAATAGGACATAACCGTAATGTGTATGACTTTTACCTGTCCTTATCTTTGACCCTCAATAAACATGCAAATGTTGTTTTTTTATAATTTGTGGAACAACATAATTATACTGCCTTTAGTGAATATGCTGTAAATATGAAATGATTTTCTAGATCTCGTTTCCTTAATGAATTGTGCTTTATTATTGATGATTCGGTTTGGACCGAAAAGACATTCACAATAACAGCCTCTAGAAATGATTCAAATGTCTGTTTTTGCATTTGGTGCTCCAAAATTGTGACCCGGCTTGAAGTGCCTTTTGTTTAAGAAACAAAAGTTGTTTTTCGGGAGCATTTATCACTTTTAGACATAGTTCTAGTACAATTTGTCAAGCGAAATTGGCTTAGTTGTATGTATAGTTGATTGATTTACTTGTATGAATCCGTAATTGTAAATTTGTATCTATTTTAGTTCCTGTTGTAAACGTGTCGCTGCATTTGGTTGGACCAAGTTCTAGTTTCATTAAAGAGCATTCTCGACAAACAATCAAGTGTAAGACATCACCTAGTCGACCACAACCTAATGCAAGCTGGTTTCTTTATGAAGCTAACAATAAAGTTAAACATAAAATTACTATCAATTCATCAATACAGATTATTTCTAGCGGAGCTGGACTTGTATCTGTTGAAAGTACCTTACAAATTTATCCAAATAGATCAATAAACGAATGGGTGCTGCATTGTGAAGCGTGGACAAACAACGAAACCCGCACCCTTCAGAGCAAAGGATTGACGTTAAATATTGCATGTGAGTCTCTTTTTGAATTTATTCTCTGCGGTGTTATTGATATGATAGGAATATAGCTTACACCTAAACATGAGCGTGGAGAAATATCTTTATGAAGTTTATTTATTTGTAATGGATAGCGACTATGATAAAATATTTTGGTTTTAAGAATGACAAAACCAAATAGGCCACCATTGACTGTATACAAGAAAAAGTGATTTCCATAGCAACCATTGATTTGCAATAGCAAACAGTGATTCCCTTAGCAACCATTGAATTTCCATAGCAACCACTGGGTTTCATAACTTATCAATTGCTTCTTCTACTTTACTACTGGTTTCAATAGTCATTTCCTACGCAACCATTTACTTCCGGGAATAACCACTGACTTTCAAAAATCATTCAATTTCTACGCAACTAGTGCAATTCATTGCAACCATTCCTTGTCATAGCAAATAGAAACTTCAATAACACCCTTTGGTAACCACAAAATGTCAGTGGCTTACAAAGCAACTTGAAACTTGCAATAGCAACTAGTAGCTTCTATTTCAACAAGTCAATTGACTATTCCTAGCTACCAGTGACTTCGACAGCAACAACTGATTTTCGAAAGCTGCTTGAAGTACATATAAACAAGCCATTGTCTTGCATGGCAACAAGGGACTATGCATAGCAAGTAGTACTTCCGATAGCAAACAATGACTCTCCAAAGTAATCAATGACTTCCATAGACACGATTTTGTCATCAATAGCTGCAATCGCCAACCCTAATCAACTAATGACTTCCAAATTATATATTGTAAGTTTAACTAGTGTAACCATTAATTTTCCAAAGTAACCGATGACTTGTTTTTTTTATCATTTTTTAGTTTATCATTCCTGTTTTAAACACTGTTGCATTTGTATCAGATGACCTTAATTTTGACGTTATACCTGTTTCATCAATATGTATGAATACTAATTGTTCCTTGTCATATGGAGCCTTCACAGTCAGTTGAGCGACATTAATGCCGTCACTTACCTGTTATTTTTAATGGTACGAGAGATGATCAAAGTTAAACCGGACTGTGACTGTCAATTCGAGAATTTTCAACCTAACACTTATTGTTATATATCACACTAAATCGGAAAACAATACCTGAAAATTGATGCTATATCTAATATGATAACTCAAACAGCTTGTCCGTAACAGCGAATTTAAAAACCATGGTAACGCAAACCCGGCGCAGTGCGTAAATTTACGCTGACATCAGGCGCTATATGATGCATATGTTTTACAATATGGCACATTTAGATTTCAAAGTCTGCCAACACGTCATGAGCTATATCCTCGACGTTGTCAGAAAATATGACTTCATTCAAACTATATTTATATTTGCAATCATAATTCAAACTTCACATGTTATAGAAATATTTGCGTTAAAACTTTGTCGCCAGAACGTCTCGAAAATCGGTCAATAAGAATAGTTTGTCAAAAATAAGGCGACAAACTGTTTAGAACGTAAAAAAATGATTGGGCTAACTAGGAAAAAGTTCCAGGAAGCCACAGCATAGTTTTTGATTAGCATAAATGATTACGAAAGGGTAATAGAGAAATTGAAAACAAGTAAAGGGGCGTCACAAAGGAGAAATTTTCAACGACGTTGGTGACGTCAATCGCCGAGAAGTTGAAAAATGACAGTCAATTGACACGATGTTTGGCAGTTGGTACGGGGCGGTTCAAGTTCAGTCAACTATAGCTAAGGATCTCTTATTGTTAATGCATTAATTACATATATTACATTCTTAGTTTACAATTGTATTAATTATTTTTTTTTCGTTGTAGAGATTTTTCCTATGGAGAAATTCATTCTGTTAACAATTTAACAGTCACGGTTCAAAATCGGCTATGCGTTTTGTTTATTTTAAATAATGACAATTTTTTTCTTAGTTGTATTATTCTTTAATTTTCTCGCACGGAAGATACATTATCATTCAGCAACATAGTATAAATGCAAAATATAAATAAGTTCATTGCATGTGCGATTTGTCCACCAATCAAGTTACAAAAGGAAAGAACGGAAGTTTGCGTCATTACAGGAGCTCTTTATCATCATTCATTCTATTACAATACAATATGATACCGACTTGTAAAGAGATATATAAAGGCGGTGGAACACGTATTGGCCTTCTCGAGAATGAGTGAAAAGCTCCTCCCTTTAAGACAATACGCTTGTGACGTCGTTAACGTCGATTTTAAAATTATAACGTGCGCCGCATAGCTTTACATGTACATGCAAATAACAGCATAACTTTTTAAATTGTCAATATTTCTTGTTGGTATTTTTTGTATTATTTAGAGGATAGATTCCGATTTATGTTCCGTGTACTTTTATGTAAATGCGTTTAACATGTAAGGAATCATCTACAAAGTCCGGTTAATTTTTGATCATCCCTCGTATATGTATAACAACTCATAACTGTTTCAAGACCTTTATTTCAATGATTTAATATATGATTGAATTTATATGTAATTAAACAAAGACCCCCCGGACAGGCCTCCTGTTATTTTCGGATTCGAGAACGGCGAAAAGTATCCACTGATAGAATCAGAAATTGGCAAGTTGTCTTGTTCTACACATGGCGGGAATCCACTTGCTATTTTGACATGGAAGTGCTATAACAATAAACCGGAATCGACAACCATTGAAGACAAAAACGTTTCCAGCACTGTTACATGGTCAGGTTTACGTGATCAATCATCTTGTACTTGTATTTCAAATCATTCCTGGTCTGGGACAACACAAACTACGACAATAGGGATTGATGTTCTTTGTAAGATTTTATTCTCATAATATTTTGAACAAATAACATACTGTATCATTATTTTGTAAAATTTTGTAAAATTTGGACTTTCGTTAGTAACCACACGGTCTTAAGTCATGTCTCCTGCTTTAAAGTGATAATAGTATAAATTGTTTTTGATAATGCAAAATGTACTTTTAGATTACTTTTTTTCAATATGACTTATATGATAGATGCCAATAATTAGCTTTATGAAATATTTTGACATCTTTTAAGACTCTCCAAGTAAACCAACATTAACAATCAACGATACAGACGTTTCAAATGTTATTAACGTTATACTGAACAACACCGTCTACGTTAAATGCGAAAGTAAAAGCAAACCACACCCAACCTACTCATGGACAGGTCCTGCCGACATGCAAAGAACAATACAAATACTAAATGTCACAATTAATGACACAAAAGACAGGAAGTATAAATGCATTGCAACAAATCGAATGGTTAGACAAAATGGTACATACGTAGATGGACGTAATGAATCTGGTGTTACAATAAAGGTGCTGTGTATGTATCACTTATTAACTCACGATATCCTTTCATTTTTTACTTTAGAGATGACTGTCATTAAATATTTATTATTATCGTTACTTTTTAAAAAAATGTTAATTATTCTCAATTAATTTAATTCCTGTAAGACTTTATTATCTCAGATATACAAATTTTGGTTATTCAATTATAGAATAGATTTGTAAAAATGAACGCAGCTATCTAACATTCTTGTAGTATTCAAATTTAAAAAAAGTAAGTGCACACGCGGGGAAATAGAATGTCAATAATATAAAATGTCATGTTTTATCAGATCCACCTGGGAAGCCTTATTTCAAATATGAATATAGCAATGGCACAAAGGTTAGTACTCAAAACATGATAGACGTTATAGCAGGAGACTCGTTTTCGGTACATTGTCTTACAACAGGAAATCCACAACCTACAAACAAGTGGGACAGTAATGAAGGCAACGATATTTTAAAGATAACTTCAATTACTTTCGACACAAATAAAACATGCCATGCAATGTACACAATGGAGGAAACAGTCGGTGAACGTCGAACAGGATCGACATCTGCGTCATTTTTTATCAGGGTTCTTTGTATGTATATCTTTAGTACCATAAAACATGAATTTAAGAACTGGTTGGAACAGAATTTCAAATAGTAACTTGTAACCGTACACTTGTATTATAAAAGTGGTCTATATATTTGAAATATTTACGCGTGAGTAAAAACCGTCTTGTATTTCTTCTATTTATAGCGTTAAGATTTATCTTAAATATACTGAGTAAAAGAAATAAATTATTGTAAATTTTAGTGTTCGTTTTTCTGATATGCATATAAGATGTGTTGCTCAAAACGATTGTACTGCCATACTGCTATTGTTAATGTTGATCATTATATTTATAGATCCGCCACATATTCCTAAGTTCACGATTTCGAACGGAACGAGACAAGTAAACGTCACATCAGCGACTATACAACTAAAAGAAACAGACAACATCAATATGACCTGTTTTTCTGATGGAAAACCTGTTCCAAATTACACTTGGACTAGCCACAATGCTCAAATACATGAAAATATACGGCAATTTGCTAATATCATTCGAAAGGATGCCGGGAAGTACACATGTAATGTGAATAACGTGATGGAACGCAGTTTTGGTGACACTGAACATGGGTTGAACGTTTCCAGCATATCTCTCGACATATTGTGTACGTATGGACTTATATATATAATTTAATTGTAGATATTTGCAATAATGCAATGTGGAGAAATGCAAATATTTCTAGCATAGTTATGTTTGAGCCCGCATATTTTTAATTTAACTACCTTAACTTCTTTTAAAACACGGTTGCAGATCCATCAACCATTTCATCACTAGAAGACATAAGTATTCATGAAGGTTCAGACCTAAATGAAACATGTCAAGTTCAGAAGGGAAACCCAACTAAAGAAAGTGTGTCATGGACTAGAATAAGTGATGACAAGAATTGGAAGAATAGTCAACTGATTATAACTAATGTTTCTAGAGCAGACGATACAAATTATACATGCACTTTACGAAGTACAATCATCCCAACAATTGGTGACGAAACATTGACTATAAGAAGCAAAACAATACATCTAAATGTTTTTTGTAAGTATTCTGTGTTATTATAGTCCAAATCACTATCATATCAATCACTCAATGTTATTATTTGTTTATAGGAAGAGCGTGAATAACGCACGCGTATTATGTGAACTTTTTAGGCTCTTATTTACCAAGACGTACGTCTTTATAAAACACTTATAACCAGACCTGATTGCTTACACGTTCGCAGAATAATTAGTCGTTTTATTGAAATCACATTTGAAACTGTATAACACATAAGCATACTTGACTTTTCCATTCATCAGAAAAAAGTAAAAATGTATTTTCTCCTTACTATCAATGTTTAATCTAAAGACTGAACATTTAATATTTCATTTTACGTATTTTTTATTCAAAGTAAACTTTCGGCACAACTTTCGATTTTTCTACCGTGGTGTGTACTTTGTCAATTAATAAGCGAAAATGTATTAAAACTTTGTAAGGGGCAATAAATATTTTTTTTATCTTGATTTATAATAATATGTTTCAGTTTCGTCAGAAATTAAACATTTTACTGTTGTTAAAGACAAGTCAAGTGGAACTTTTATTGTTAACCAAAGAGATGAAGTTTCATTAGAATGTACAGCAGAAGCTAACCCAGTCTCGATTTTATCTATATACAATACACATGGCAAGAGGATATGGACAGTAAAAAACAGAAATGTGCTGCTTTACAGCATTAATAATGCTTCGTTCGAAAACGCAGGCAAATATAAATGTGAAGGCAGAAACAACTACACAAAAGATAAACCATCAGTATCAGAACTGACAATGATTGTCAAATGTAAGTTTAACCTGCTTTGCATATAACTTTCTCTCGTTTAGTATTTCTTTATGCATTTACCATTGGCTTAAACGATAAAAAATACTTGTTTCTTTCAAAGCTTGGTCAACAAATGAGCTATCAATATTATATTGTGCTTTATATTTTAAATTTCCCAGTACGCCGTAGAAAAAGGATACTATAACTTAACTTTTAGATTGTATACCTGCAAGTAAAAGGATGTGTCACGTATCGGTTATACATTTAACATTTTCCTATCTTTCTATCTAACAAGTTCCATCCTATGTAACATGTTCGTTCTTTAATGAATCTGTAAATTTTGTATTTTTTTAATGTTTTGTGCGATCGCTGTTTTATTAAGAAAAAAATCTGGTTTGCATTTCTCTAAATTTTTAAACTTAAACCAAATCAGCTAGTATCGAGAAATTGAATGTATCCAGAAAAACAAGTTTTTTTCTGCTTGCTGTAAACTGTTTATTCAAAGTCAGTCCGTATATATTATGGTCCGTGCGTGTGGCATTTTGTGATGTGTTCTATTTCTATATAAGATATTCATGTTTTATCTGATACAGTCGAGACTGTCATATGTGACTTTACAAGAGATTTTTAGAAAAAGGTCACATATGACAGGGAACTTTTAAATACAGTCTCAAAAAAAAAAAATTAAATACCATCTATCTGTCTATATACCATTGTGACTTAACATACATATAACTGTGTGAAGGAATAATATTAAACCAATTCCAAATAAACATAGGTATTCTTAAAATGTTTGATGTAAATAAAATAAGAATCCATGTAAAACAAAAATAGTTGCATGTATTTCATATAAAATTCAATTTTATTTTTTTTTGTATTAAGATTTATATTGAATTTTTATGGTATAAAATAAACTGGAATTTGATGCATTCAAATCTTTGAAATAAATATCATACTTGTAAAAGTTAAACATATCCATATCCAAAGCTTTTTCTGGCTTGGTATCAATATTTTTTCCGTATTAATTATGAAGCCATAGAAAGATAAAATTAAAAAATGCTGCCTAAAAAAATCTTCCGTTGGCACTCTATAATTTAAAAAAAAATCTGACACAAGTCTTAATCCAGTTTAATCAGGTCATTATGTACATTACAAACACATCGATTGCATCATGCTTACTATATTTGGCAGTAGGGAACAGACGTTAGTCACTCGATACCTGTATACATGTTAACTGTGTAATTAAAGCAGAGGTGTGTAGAGTTTGTTTGCTACACTTAATTATTTTGGCCCTCTGGGTGTTGAAACAGGTATTATTTATCTGATTAACGGACAATTAAAAGGTGTGAAAGCCGTTTAAATCAGACAAAAAATTGCATTAGGACCAGACAATTAGGGTCGCTTGTCACATATGACAGGGAGTCGTTTAATTCAGACCATTTATATAGGAAAATACGTTGGGAAACTGAAACAAGGTCGGATAAGACAGGGAGTCGTTGAAATCAGGGGGTCGCTAAGGCAGTTCTCTAGATCACTCTATGGAATAATGTATAAGTTTTTTTGAAACAGAATTAAATTGTCTACGCGCTAAATAGCAATATGTTTAATATTCTTATTTAATGCGAACATTCAATTCTGATCAGTAATTTTCTTTTGCATTATAACTGTTAAACCCGTTTTCTATGCAGAGTGATTTTCAGTAAAGTGGTTATTTTATATACGGCAATGGCAAAACTATTTACATGCAACTGTGTTCCAATATCATACATATAGTGTATAATAGAGAACATTTTTCTATTTTGCTGATTATTTATATGCTTGTGGTGAACATTTCTTTAGTAAACATGTACCAATTTTAGAAAAAAAAAACAAAAAAACTGTGCCTTGCATGAAATGACAAATTTTTCAGGGTTTTTTAAAAAAAAAAAATTCTACTTAATAAGCAATGTTCACAAAAAATAAATATAAAGGGACACAACTCTTAAAATATTGATTTTAGGTGAATCCACAATGTTTTCAACTGCGCCTAATCACAGTTAAGTGTTGAAATCTTTTGAATTTTAAGCAGTTTTTACATAAATATTAAGTTAAAAAGAGGCATCATATTATTATTACTACTAATAAATGTATAACTTTTAGCAAAGGTCCACTTGTATGGTGTTTGATTTTTGCCATTGTGTTTACGCCCGCGACTCCGCAAAGAGAAAAGTTGAGAATTAACAAGATAAGTGGCGGGGGCGCGGAGCAAAAGCATGCTATTTACCGGGGCGAATGGCGACATATTATTTATCCAACTTCACACTCCCGCTTATGAGGGTTTTTCGCTCCGCGCCCCGCCATTTCATTTATAAAAACTCGCTCTGGATCCGCGGGCAGACGTTTTGATTTATTTAAAATCGTCTTGCGCCCGCCGCAAATAAGCTCATTTTTGCTCCGCGCCCACCGTTTAATTTCTGAAATCTCGCTACGCGCCCGTTTTATTTATCTAGTCTCGCCCCGCTTATTAGTGTTTTTTGCTCCGTGCCCCGCCATTTCAACTTGTTAATTGTGAACATTTTGCTTGGCGGGGTGGCGTGACGATAACACGAAATGACACTAATCAGCCACCATACCATCGGCTTATAATTTGGCAAGATTAACAAGTCTTCAGAATTTCATGTTGATGTCTTTTATTCTTTTATTGTTTTGAATTCATTCTAGAACGTAATAGGTAATTTTGACAAAAAACATTAAAAGGGGACATTACTCTAAAATATAGCTTTTATAATAATATCCCATGTCTTACAACTGTTTTTGTCATGATAACAAGTATTCCAAGTCTCATATTGTTACCTTTGAAATTAATTCGGTAATGGGCTACACTAAAGTTTACGATTGATGACGATGACAATAACGACGCCACAGCGCTCATAACTGTTCGACATTTTCTTCATAACAAGCTTATATATATTTTTTTCCTTTTTGCTTATACATCATTGTACATGTACATTCTTTATCAGCTAAAGAATAATCTGTATTTTAGTAGGTAAATATATCGGATGGTCCATTCACTTTGGTGATCATGTAAATGTGGATGTAGAAGTGATGAAGGATTGATCAGTAGGGTCACGGTTTAATGTTTTCCTTACACTACAACTCGTGCGATGTTTCTTGTGCAAATCTTTTTCGTTGTATTCTTCCTGCTTTAATATGGTTGTGAATTATTTCTATTAAAATATATTTTACAAATTTCAGGTTCACCACGACCGTCACGTGATAGCATATTTCCTAATAAGATCGCAGCTGCTCAATTTACAAACAAGACTTTGAATTTTGTTGCCTATGAATACTTGGATGAAGAAAAGAAAACAGAATTTATGTGGCTTCACAAAAATATTTCAATCGAGAGAAATGATGAAAAATTTGAAATAATTTCAATTGGATTGAATTCTAGCCTTTCTGTTAGAAACATTACACAAATGGATTTTGGAGAATATAGCGTCAAAGTTTCAAACACAATAGGAGAGTATATTCATCACTATATGTTGCAAGCAGAAGGTAAACTATATTTCTGAATTCATATAAATTTTCAAAAATTAACTGGTAGTTTTAATTGTCTATGAGTAATGTCATTATGAAAATTATACATGCATAGTTTTGTTAAATAAAAAACGTGGATATATTATAATTAATAATTATCTACTGACTTTAAAAAATATTTATTCTAAGTGTCTTTTCACAGATAAGCCAGATGTGCCTATAAATTTAACGTACAAATCCGGGTCAATCACTAAATCGTCAGTAACATTGGTTTGGACTCCAGGTTTTGATGGTGGCTTTCCACAGACTTTCATTTTGTTATATCAGTACAATCAGGAGGAGAAGTGGAATAGTGTTCAAGTTCAGAATACAAATGAACAGGAAATGAACTATACCTTAACTGGCTTGTTGAGTTCGAAAGTGTATAATATTGCAATGTTTTCAATGAATAAAAAAGGGAACTCCCCCTATACCAAGAAGCTTCAGATCACAACTAAAAGTAAGTCGATGATATATATATTTGCTTATTTCTAATACACAATACTTAAAATTGGAATACGTTTACAAAATGATGATATTTGTTTGGTCGTTTGTATTTTCGATTTTTAAACACTTTAGGTATCAAACAATAAGACCTGAAATGAAAAAGGTTACAGCAAAGCAAAGTTCAATTCTTAAGCTTTTATTTCTAGACAAACAAACGGTATACGTTTATGATAAAGTTATACAAACAAAATGCTGTTGCTGACATAAAATACACGACAACAATTGTAAAGCTAAGCATTTGCTAAAACTTGTATGATTTGTATGCAGTGTTACCTATGTATTCCTTGGTTTAATTCTGTATATATTTCAGTGAACCTTAAAACAGCAGACTCACAATCATCAGATAATGTTGGCATTATAGGTGGAAGTATTTCAGGTGTTGCTGTGGTTATAATTGTGAGCGTGCTTTTGGCTGTTTTTTTCTTAAAAAGAAGGTAATAAGAATCAATTAATTCATAGGATGTTGTTCCGTATTAATTGTTTCGCTAAAAGTGTATGGATTAAACTATTGTGTATTAACTATTTTGCATATATATGTTCATTGCATTTATACTTTATAATTATGTATTCATAATTTTTCTTCATTGGATTACTGATTCAGTGTGAATCATTAAAGTTCATTCTTTTATTTTTAAGTAATATCTTCAGTGATAATGTACCTTGCAAGATTAAAAACATACCAACATGGTAATTTTATAGATTATCGTGTTAGTTCATACAATGGCGATGCGTTCGTAATGCAAAATACGGTAGATTTACATGATCTGTTAGCATTTATAAACTTAAGAACAAAAAGCATAGTTCCAATGAGAAACGAATGTACATGTGTTTTAAATGATAAATTATATATCCACGACCATACATTCAGATTTTCAGGCATTTCTGAAGCAATGAGAAAATGTCCGTATAAGTCTTAAAAGCTACAGACTACGGTCATTAAAGCATTAGGGGCATAGAGAAATGCGTAATATGATACATTGTTTTTGAATAGCAAGAGGGAAACCTTTTGTAACTGTTATATATGAATCAGAATAAAGGGGGTCAAAAATGAAATAGAATTTGTATGGTGACCTAATTTCATAAACAAATAAATCTAATAATCAATTTATGTATTTAAGGAATAAAAAACAAACAGATGGATTATATCAAAATGTCCCGTTTATTGGTAAGTATACATCTTACCATATTATCATTATATACATTTTATGACTCATAGGCAAGTTAAAAAGACAAAATGGTTAGTTGATACCAAGACTAGAAAACACATGTTGTTGAACATTTAATGTAGATGGAGATATGTTCTGGTTTTCATAACATCATTAAAATAAGTATGAAGAAAGGTCAAATTGATCTCAAGTATGAAGAAAGGTCAAATTGATCTCGATGATAGATATATTCATCTTGAAAATAAAATAGTTATGGACGTCATGAAATGGAAAGGAATTCTATATTTTTCAATATTATTTATCTAACATTGGCATTTGTTACTGTGGTTAAGGAAACTCGGTTTCTAAGAAGAAAAAAAGAACAAGTGTGACAAAACATGAGAAAGAAACAACCTTCGAAGATCTTCAAGAGGTTGATGATGTTCCAAATATATTTAGTGAAATCACTGAATACTCAAATTCTCCTGAAATTATTGAACAAATAGATAGAATTGGAGTGTCGGAGTTGTACGCTTATGTCTGTGGGCGCAAAGATACATTTGAAATTGAGTACCAGCAGGTAGGTTTGTCTGTTAAACAAGTTTATGCTCGAATGATCTTCTTTTAAATCTAATCCTAATCTGATCTTAGAATCAGTGGTTAGTAACAAAAGGTCATTCGACTCAATGTCCAAAGCCAACTGCCACAGATATCTGGCCTCGCCAGGGAATACAAACATTATCAACATCATGATTTAATACGTCTTGGTGTTCCTAAATGAATGTCTGTGTCAAAAATATGTAATTGTTCAACGGATACATCAATAGATTTTCATTAACCGTTTATCATAAAAAATGTAAAGATACAAATGAATAAATAAATAAATTGAAAATAAATAAAACACTTTAACTGACAAAATTGAAATTAAAATTACATGTAGATTTAACGTTAATTTGAAATTTTACTAAGTATATTGTTTTATATGTTTTTTAAAGATAATAGTTTTAAACAGTTACTTTAAAAATATGCAACAATTTTACGACTCATTTTGAAGTCTTTACTATTTTCATTTTAATTTCAATGAATGCATGAATTTATAGAAACTACCAACAGGGCTACAAAAACCATGCACTTTTGCCAGAAAGCCTGAGAACATTGCTCTTAATAGATACAATGGAATTTACCCATGTAAGCATACGTTTATTACAATTATTTCATTTAGTGTTTGGAAATATATAAGAGATTAAGATATGATTCTTTGTGTATTATAAAATAGTTATTTACCTTGTGTTAAAAGAGTTTAATTGTTAATGATGTATTATCAGATGTATTTATTTATTTTACAATTTCGTTTCAGACGACCATTCTAGGGTAAAAATTCATGGGAACGCTGCTTTTTTCATTAATGCATGCTACATTGATGTAAGTAGCATTTAATTTGATAAGCATTCTGAAATGATAAGATGCCAATTTGTATTTCAATAGTATCCGCGGTTTAAATTTTTCACGATAAACTTACAAGTACATGTATGTATTAAAAAATTTCTTAATTGCAGGGGTACAGACAAAGTAGAAGATACATAGCATCACTAGGTATTTCAGTTGAATGATTTATGACAAAATACTTTTAAGCTATTGTAATAAGATAATTAAGTATTTAAGCAATCAAATAAAGGCAAAATATTTTATTGATTAGTTATGCTTCATAACTTTTGTCATATGTAACTTGATTTGTTTAAATGTTTAGTATTTTTCAATTAGTCTAAAAGGAACAGTTTGTATGTATACTTATGTTCAAAACTTTTAATTACTGTGATTAAGGGCCGACTTCAAAAACAACAAACGACTTTGAAACCTTTTGGCAAATGATTTGGCACGAAAAATCTGATTTGATTGTGATGCTAACAAACTTACGTGAACATTCGGTAAGTTACTATATACAGGTTTTTTATATTTAAATGTGAATGTTGAATATGCAAAACTAACTATTTTCATTTTTGCAATAAAATAAAATATACAGATGCAAAGATAAAAAGCACCCATATGTTTTCAAAGATAATATAAACGTTAGTGCCAGAAAATTGGATTGCCCTTTAATATTATATTAATACATATTATAATCTTGATTTATAGGGAATGAAATGTGAGCAGTACTGGCCAAATGAGGCTTCTTTATGTCAATATGGCCAAGTTACCGTGACAAGTAAAACTACTGAAGTTTTTGCAGAGTATACAGTTAGAACATTTACGGTTTTAAAGGTACTATCGAATAGCATTTGAATCAAACACTTTTATTACGATTTATCATTTATTATATTGTAAAAGATAAATGCTACAAGTGTAAGTCAATGTGATGATGAATATATCTATTTCACGGTAATACTTCAATTATTATTAATATTTATAATGAAAAAGATTAAAGTTTCTTTCCCGTTTACAAATTTATCACAGAATTTTGAAATTCAATATCGATTGTCTTCTTTACTTGTCATTTACAAATATGATTTAATTTACAAACTTTTGATAAATTTAAATTATAAATACAGATACTTCAAACAATTTTAGATTTTATAATTCTATAGCTCTGGAAAATATATGGCAAATATACTTAATAATCCGAATTTTAAGTCGTGACACTTATTGTCATTTAAATTATGCATTTTTCCATTTTTTTACATTTTAAATTCAAAGAGACATCATAATATACACTAGGGTGAACGTTTCAGTTTACACGCAAAACGCACGCTCTGGAAAAAACGCACGCACGTTACACGCTATACGAACGAACGTTATACACACGCTATACGAAACGAAATACGCAGACGCACGCAAAACGATATATGCTAAACGAATACGCTAAAAACGATATACGGACGCTAAAACGCACGGCAAAATGAAAAACGTTTCTAAACCTTTAAATTAAAATATCGTAAATCCAATATTAAGTTTTTTTTTTTAACAACTTTAGCTACATGTAGATCGTTTAGCGATTAATTTGGATTAAATGATAGCTAGAAATGTATTTTAAACGAGTTTATGTTAGAGCTGAAATGCACTCAACCTAGCACCAAAATTAATTTTTGTCACAGCCTCAACAAATGATTTTTAAGAATATAAGCTATCATGCGCTAATATCGAAAGCAAAATAATTAGACGTTTTCCTTTTTATGCGCAATCGGATAAAGAACCATCCCTTGCATTAACTACGTAACCTCTACGTAATAGTCCAACATGGCGGCATGGAAAAGTGCATTGCAAATTATCATAAATATACAGTGTTAACAATTAAATTCAGATGGATTTATGAGACAAATCTATATATTAAGTGAGGCTGCATCATAAACAATCGAACATTAAAATCTTGAGTGTAAAATAAAAGGAATTAACTATTTTGACAGAAGTCACGAAAACAGATTAAAAACACAGGATTCTACCACGGAAAGGGAAAGCTATCAGAATCAGGAAGGATTAAATTGCTGGCACAATACGTAGATTTAAGTTGATGTCCTGTATGTTTTATTAGGACACCGCATGATTTACTGTGTTGTCGCCAGTAAAAGCTTCTCAAAACGAAAGTGAAAGTAGAAATAAACAAATACTGAAATCCAGTGAAAACACAAAAAGGTAAAATTTCTAGGGCATTACAATATATCTGTCTATATAAATATTAAGAATGCACTTTTATTTTGGGTCTGAAACTGTAATCGAGAGGAAAAAATGAGAAAAATAAGGAAACCAGTCAAATTCATGCACCTCCATTAGTGCAAGATGGGGAGAAGTCAAGTGTGGGACTCCAAGAATTTGTGAATCATGTGTTAAATGTAAAGATATTGGATTTACTAAGACAGCGCGACAGAAAATATTTTTCATATCACTTAAAATTGAAATTTATTGACATGCGCTTAATATGTATTAATATGCTAATATTATTACTAAGCAACATTAAATGCCTACTGGCATGCGAGCAGTTCCCATGCAAAATTCGTAGTGACTTAAAAATTATTTTTAATTACGCACACTCACCATAAATTTGAATATTTAATTATTGTTACACATCAATATTCGGCTCGTCACACAAATAATAGAAATTCCATTATGTTCTAAACATAGAATAATCCTCAGTTACCGAAATTATACATTATTTTGTATGAAGTGAAGTAGTTCCCGTACATAAAATATAACCGATTAGAATTATACAATGTTGTTATATCAGACCTATTTTTCATTTATACTTGTTTAACATGACATTTCCCAAGAGGTAAAAAAATGTAATTCAGAAAATAGAGCGTAGACTAACGCTGACCAGTGTCTCATACCCGGTACCGTTACCGGAACGCATTCACATGCAATGTATTGCAAATGCAAATTATTGATGAACTTACATAGTGAGATGTCTGTTTATACAGTCTTGGCCCTATGTTGGTTCTCGAAAGTAACTGTGCAGCCTGACTGGGGCTCAAACCTGGGAGGCTTGCATTGACACGTTGAATGCCATTCCATAGCTCTACCAACTGAGCTATAAGGTTTCTTCAATATCCCCTTCTCTAATCATTGGGCAGTTAATACTGTGACATCCTCCACAATTTGTTCATGAGTATAGAGAATACGTCTCAGCTATATACCACTATGGCTCTACATTTTGCCCCGATATCAAACCCCGGATCAGAATACCATATGGGGGCTGTACTGACTAAGCTATCGCAGGCCATCTCACATTCCTACCCCCTCAACAATTAGTACAGAAAAAAAAGAATTATTAGCTCAAATATACCTTTAAACCCAAAAATGGTAAGTGCAGAACTCCTGGATTAAAGATGAGAGTGCATCATAAGTTTGTTAACCTATCTAGCTCCAGTGAAGCAAAAATAATAAAAAAATATATCCCTAGAAATATGTCAATCTCCCTATATTAAGTTATTCAATTTAATACAGTACATACTAGACAGCTCATTGAGCTCAAGCATGTTACATGCATGTATTTTTTCCAATTAATTCCATTTGGTCTCTAATTTAAGGGGAAGCAACTCATGTTTACCAAATTGTTTGTCCTTATCTGTCTATCTCAGACTGTTTATAAACAATTGGGTTATTGGCAGTGTGCTTATCAGGCTATACAGACACTCTCTTATTATTTTTTATTATAAATAGAATGGAGTAATGGATATTTTGTGTGACTGGCTGTATAATATACTTTAGAGTTGAATTCAATTAGTCCATACCTAAAGGTATCCTGCAACAGGGTTCATCCAATAATATTTTTTTCATATTCAGATTGTTAATAAAATAAGCTTTGGTGATAGACTGTGGCGTCACGACCTCATGCTGATAACAGGCAATTTAAAGAACTTGAAGTGCTACTTTGGATAACTTTGTTAAGTGAAAACCAAGAATGGCCATTCATTGCTATATCTTCTGAGGCAAGCTTTCCTGACTGCCCTCAACCTCTGTAGGCATTGTATGCACAGTTTTCCCAACTTTCTTCCCCTTTCCTTTCTATTGCACCCCTCCCTCTTTTTACCAAATGACTGATGTAAATGTTGTCAAGCAGTTTTATTGTGTCGCCTTGAAAAGGCAACATATAGGGGTTATTTTTATCGGCGTCATTGTTGGCGTCCGTCTCGGCGTCCCCTTAAGCTTGTCCAGAGCACAAGTCAGTCATTATAAGTTGGATTGACTTCAAACTTGGTATGCATACTTCTTATAATGACCCAAAGTGGAGTGCACAAGAACCGGTACTCTGCACTTCTTAATTATTGAGTTATAACCCTTTGTTAATTTTCATACTTTATTTTTGGTCAGGCCATTTCTCCTAATGTATAAAAGCTTTGGACTTGAAACTTCATAGGATGATAGATCTCATTAAGAAAAAATGCAGTGTCTAAGAACCGGTACTTTGCATTTCTTATTTTTTGAGTTATTGCCCTTTGTTAATTTTCATAGTTTACTTTTGTCCGGGCCATTTCTCCTAAAGTATAAAAGGTATGGACTTGAAACTTCATAGGATGATTGATCTCATTAAGAAGAAGTGCAGTGCAAAAGAACCGGTACTCTGCATTTCTTATTTTTTCAGTTATTGCCCTTTGTTAATTTTCATACTTTATTTTTGTCCAGGCCATTTCTCCTAAAGTATAAAAGCTATGGACTTGAAACTTCATAGGATGATAGATCTCATTAAGAAAAAGTGCAGTGTACAAAAACTGGTACTATGCACTTCTTCCATTTGAGTGATTACCCTTTATTAATTTTCATACTTTATTTTTGTCCAGGCCATTTCTCATAAATTATAAAAGCTGTGGACTTGAAACTTCATAGGATGATAGATCTTATTGATAACAAGTGCAGTGCACATAAACTGTTGTTCTGCACGCACTCCTTTTTTGAGTTATAGCCCTTTGTTAATTTCATATTTCATTTTTGTCCTAGCCATTTCTCCTAAGCTATATTGTTCACAAGGCGACACACCCGACTCGTGTAGTTCTAGTTTTTATAGCCAAATTATAACTTTAAACCAAGTCTGAGCTGGCTTATATTTTTTTTCTATTAAAGAGTAATGGAAATATTGTTAAGGTTGGCTAAGCCTGTATGTTGTGATTACATGTCTAACTTTGGGACAGATTTACTTAATGAATTTATTTATGTCTTATTTATATTATGGAGGAACACTGGTGTCAATATTCAGTTCTAGAACAGAATCAATCCCACTACAGACTTTTAATAGAGAAGGTGTTTCCTTGCACTCTTGAATAAGTTCACTAAATTTTTTTTGGGCCTTAAGTTAATTGGGGGGCATTTCAGACAAAAAGACTTTCTTACCCCAAAATATCAAAACCCGATTTTGGGGGAAAGCTTCAGAAAAAAAAGTTTTCGGGGACATTTTTGAAAAAACCCGGGTTTTTGGAAAACTTTTGGCCCCCTAAAATTGGGAAAACTTTTTGGACGAAAAACTTTAAAAAAACACCTTTAAAAAATTGAAAAAAGGGATTATCGGGCCAGTTTTAAAATTATAAATTTTTGTTTAAAAAATTTCAATGAAAAATATTAAATTTTTTACCCAAAAACGGGAAAAAAAAACAAATTTCCATGGGCGCCGGGGAAAAATAAAAACCCCAAAAAAAAAACTTAAATCCCTAATTTTTTTGGGGTTTTTCGTCTTGGGGCCCCCCCAAAGGGAAAAGTTTCAAATTTGGCCAAAAAATTTTGGGCCCCCCGTTTTTAAAAAAATTTTTTTTACTATTTTATTTTACAAAAAAAAAAGAAAT